CGTTGTCTTGATCAGAATCCTGTCTTGGCGTCTATTCTCATATTCCCCTGTCCTCCATCTTTCTCCTAGGTGTCTACCAGACCCATGTTGAATGTCCTGTGGGTCTGGACAACAAGGACCTCTGTCATTTCTCCATTGACACTCCCTCCTTCCTGTTCCCAGGGAAACACTGCTCCCACAAGCTGGTGTCACATTCATTTGGTTCCTCGATGAGAACCTGCTGCTACGGATGTTTACCTCAGGGGGTCCTGAAAGGTAAGAGTTCCTACCTACATGTGTCTATGTGGCTAATTACTCCGAGTCAGCACGCACACAGGAGCTCATGCCAAATAAAATCAGCCATTCCCTCACACTCTTGTAAGTCTGTTTTCTGCTGTTTTGTGGGTTACAATGACTTCCCCCCCCTGCTGTTGCTTCTGTCATCGGCAAGCTAAGGATTCAAATTGGGAAGGTATGATTTCACTTGGTTACTAGTCACATAGTATTTTCTAAGAAAGCGAAAACCAGTCACTAACAAGTCCTACGGAATGGTTTCCTCTCACCAGACATCAACCCATTAGGGGTTGCTATAGCAACAGCACGATTACCATGCTCAACTCTTGTATAAAATATATACCAATTTGTCATCTACAAAAATCACATGCGTATTTTTGTTTTTCAATTAAATTTAAACAGAAGTACTTATCTTCAGAGTCCTAATTTTGTTTCTTTTGTTACTGTGATGAAAAATGAGACAAAAAGGGTTTGTTCAATTTCCACTTGCAGTTTATAGCCCATCATCGAGTAGAGGTCAGTGCAGCAACCCAAGCAGGTTGTCCCATCACACCCAAAGCCAAGAGCAGACAGAAATGAATGTACGGCGCTCTAATTGCTTTCTTGCTTGCTTCCTCACAACTACCTATCTCCACCCCTCCACTACCTATCTCCACCCCTAGACCACCTATCTCCACCCCTACACTACCCATCTCCACCCCTATACTGTATAGGATCCTCTGCCTAGGGAATGGTGATGCTCACAATGGGCCGAGTTTTCCTGTATCAGTGAAATCCAACCAAGATAATCTTCCATAGGCAAGTCCACAGGATAATCTCAATCCAGATTACAGAAGAGGAGGTGGGAAGAGTGTTAAGAGCCAGAGGGGCAGAGGATATCAGAACGAGGCCTTTTAAATCAACTGTGCAAAACTCAGCTCATGTGACCTCACAGAGATATAAGCAGCAAGCACAGGGATGACATGGGTCTGCAACCTGTCCTTAGCATGCATATATATACATACATATATATATGAAATAGCTTTCAACTTAGTATTTTTTATGGGACTCCTGAGTGTGTGAATGAGTGGGTCTCTGATTCTTGTGCCTTCTGTTGGACCTTTTTTTTTTAAACTGTTGGTTTGCATTGTCCAACTTTGATATGATGGTTTTCATTTCATCTCATTATATTTTATTTTGTCAAAAATGAAGATGAATGTCAGTACACCACTGACCAAGAAAAATTTTAGTTGAGGCAAAGAGTAAGTGTTTTTATACAAGCAGACACTAAAAGAATTTGCCAGAAGCACAATACAATTCAGTGAATTTCTTAAGAGGAAGGAAGTCGATACCAGATGAAACAAAGTCCAGATATCTAGGAGATAAGACAGAGAGTTATGGCAAACATGAAAATATACCGTGTGTGTGTGTGCAAGTGTGTGTGTGTGTGTGTCCAAGTGTGTGTCTGAACTTCTCAAAAATAATAACAGAAACTTACTGTAGTCTTAAATTACATAATCTTAGAATCACCAGGTCTAGTAACTTTTTTGTTGTTGTTTCATCTTTCAGGTTAAATATTTTTATTATTGTGGTTGTTTGGAAGAAAATGGCCTCCAAAGGGAATGGCAGTATTAGGAGGTGTGGCCTTGTTGGAGGTCTCTTTTGCTCAAGCTTCCCCCAGTGTGACATCCAGTCTACTTCCTGCTCCCTGCTGTCAAGATGTAGCCAGGACCACATCTGCCTATATACTGCCATGTTCCCCATCATGCTGACAATGGACTGAACCTCTGAAACTGTAAGTGAGCTTCCTCAATTAAATGTTTTCCTTATAAGAGTTGCCATCATCATGGTGTCTCTTCACAGCAATAAAAACCTAACTAAGACAACAGTATTTCTCTTCTCTCTTAATCTTATTATCATATACTCTTAAACCTAAAATGACTTCCTGGAAATAACAGTATTCTTACTGTGTTTAAAGCTTACATGAGTGTGTAGTTTGCCATACTCCAAAAACAATTAGCAAATAACAAAAAAAGTCACACATTCATTAGAATAGGTCTGATCTGGTTGGCCATATGCTCAACCCCATATCCTCATTTATGGGAGAGCAGACACCATAGAAATAGATCTATTCAACCCTATGTCCTCATTTGTGGGAGAGCAGACACCCTAGGAATACTTTGGTCAATGGTGGCTTGTTTCCCTCTCCGTGTACAAGTAGGTGCCAAGTATCTGCCTGGGCAAAAGTTGGAATTCTAAAAATGCAACAATGTGTGCTTTGAGTTTTAGGGTCTCAGACCTTGCTTTTAATCAGTGGGACAGAACACCAGCCCCAGACTCTCTCCACGATCTGCCTTTGAACTGTTTGCTGTTCACCATTTATTGAAAGTTCTTGACAGGAATGTTGAAGGTCATCTGTTCAGCACATTCCTGACTTTGACCCTTTTATGGATCCCTGAATTCTTGTCCTAAAAGTAATTATTTAACAACATACACAGAAGACTGGATGACTATGTCAGAGAATGTGTGTTCAGTGACCCCTGGAGGACACAGTCTCTGAGGACTTCAATCCTTGCCACCTGCAATCAGCTTGTAGTGGGACCAACAGCACTCCTTTGAAATAGATTTGAATCCCGTTTGGTCTAAAAAAGAAGAGAGTTCTATGACCTCTTAGCATACCCTGCATCTAGGTAAGGAACGGGCATGGCTTTGGCTCCCTAGGGACAAAATTAATGCAAAGAGCCAGAAAGCTGTGTATATTGGTTACAAGTTTTCTAATGGAGTCAGTCACTAGCTTTCCTTGGTCATTAGAAACTGTCTGCAACATCTGACTTCTATATTTTTGTTTTAATGTAACAGACAAACTGTCACAAAAAAATTATGACATGGGAAAGAAGTTCTTGTCAAATCCTGGCATTGGAAAAATCTTTGCTTTACTAAAGAGTTTTATATGTTTAGGGTGAAATATGAATGTCAGAGTATATGGGTTTCCTCCGACTTTCAGGAAGACTAATTTAATATCAGTAATTATATTCACTGACAAAGAAAAATCTGTCATACAGTGACACCACTTTTAACATCTTCATCTGTCTATCTGTCACCTCACTGAGGCAGGAATCCCTATCAGCCACTTAAAATCTTTGGTAGAACAAAATGGAATCTATAAAAGTAAACAAATACTTTTGTATATTTGTCAACATTTGAAGTCTCCCATGGTAAAACAAAAGCTATTTTGGTGTCAGAAAAGATTTACCAGTTTATAACATGAAGATTGAAGTGTAGTGAACTGCCCCACAGTTGGCAGCTTTAAGTGTCCCAGTCATTAAAGTACTGACTGAATCCTCTCATCTCATGGAGCGACAGGAACAGCTCTCCAGTGTGACCCAACAATTTCTTTCTCTATAGACAGATATTTTTATACACTTAAATAACTGCAGAAAGAAATGCTATTTAAAGAACATACATGCAGTATAAATTCACACTGGTTTTTCAGAATTCCTTCATTTTTAATAGACATAAATGATTAGCTCAAATAATTTCCCACAAGTCCCACAGCCCAGTTAAGATGGCGGCCCATGACATAATACCCTTCAGTATCATCCTCTTTTCCCTCCAATTGACATTTTTCAGTCTGCTTAAGCCAAAAATTGTACTTCAGTGGTGAAATAAAAACAACACACACTCTAAGCAAATGAATAAGTCATATGGCCTTGAGAACAGGATAGAATATTCAAAAGCATTTCTCGGCAGAAATCCAGAAATCTGTTCCTCATCATCTCTGTTTCCTTCCCTCAGTCCCGGCCTTTCTCCCAAAAGAGAGTGTGGAAGAGACAGTGGCCCATAGCCAGGCGTTAAAGGCAAGGACGGGGTCCGTTTTGTTCTCTGGTCCATCCCAAGCGAGTTGAACGTGCTTCTGTATGGACAAGTTGCTCAACAAATATTTGATAAACTGAACTGGATGCCAAGAAAGAAAAGCAGTATGTTCTAGTACTCAATACATTGACTTTTCCTGGAATTTGGTGACTAAAATGATTACTTTTTTATAAAAAGTAGAAGGGAGTCCTCAGCTTTATGTCACAGGGCGGGTGCTACATCTTTCTTCCTTTTCCTCAAGAAGATTCCAACAAAATGAAACTGCAATTCTAAAGCTACACAGCCCTGAGGACATTGCTCTGGCAACTGTGGGCACATGGCCTTGAAAGGCGGGTGTGAATGTAGCTGATACTGAAAGGAGAATCACTCGGATGTTAGCGTGGTGTTCTGCCAGGTCCTTTCAGGGGGTAGGGATGAGCTCTCACCCTCACACTGCAGTCTAAATGGTAGAAGGTATAAAAGTATTCCATCTGTGTTACTGATACAAAGAGTGGTGGGGCAATGGATTTTCAGTGATCGGTGTTTACTCCATGAATGGGTGAAATACTCAAGGCTATTTTAATGTTTGATGTTGAAGGTCCCATGGAAACAATGTTGGATCAGCTAAGGGCTCAGTTGACTTTTCAAAAGAAACAATTAGCATGTATCAGTTAACAAATGAAAAAAAAAACAGCATAGTGGAGGGGTAAAGTTAGGACTCCACCATTAGCCATGTGGAGCTGTAAAGACACATACGGATGTGGTAACAAAAGGGTGGAATCCCACCACTAACCACACCCACTTTGGGCATGACTAGAGACAGGGCAGTGAACTACGCCACTAGCCAGGCCCACTTTTGGGTGTGGCTAGGGGCGTGTACAGAGGAAGGAATAAAAGACTGAGCAGCAGAGCCTCTAGCCCTCTTTTCGGCTTCCGGTTTGGTGGGGGGAACTACTTGATTGATCTGGATTGCTTGTTTTCTCTTGTGAGTAATTTCTATGTGGTGGCGCTCGCCTTTAATCTCAGCACTCGGGAGGCAGAGGCAGGCGGATCTCTGTGAGTTCGAGGCTGGGCTGGACCGATAGCCTCCAAAACAATACAGAGAAACCCTGTCTCGAAAAACAAAACAAAACAAAACCAAAAACCAAAAACCAAAAACAATTGCCTATATCCTCAACAAGTGTGCTGTTTATCGTTGTAGCGTCAGCACAGGGCACTGACCTTATCATTCTAGGCATTATGAAATCACTCATGGAGAATTAACTCACAAACTTAAGCTAATCATAGACGTTTTTTGTTTGTAAATGCCAGGTTGTTGTTGCTCGAATTCCCGGTAACTAATAAGCACTGGCTATTTTAGTGACCAAATCATATTGTTTCTCTAGATACTTGCTGAGATAATGGATGCAGTAATTGGAGGAACCCTGAAGACTCCCTCTAACAGCTGATGCCCTGCAGCTTACTCGAGTCTTGGGGTGCCATCCTGGAGGAGTTTTGCTAAGGATATGAAGATTTTTAGAACATGCCCATGGAGAACCACCCATTGCTTTATTCGGCCAAGAAGGATTTGGGGGAAGGAAATGTTGCTCTCTCCACCTGGACAATCCTTCAGACTGATGGACACAGAAGCACGGAGGCTAACCCTCTGTATTCCTATCAGTAACTAGCCATTTGAGGTGGGTTGCTCTTTGGAGAAAGCACGCCCTTGTATGAAGTCCCCACCGGAAGCAAGTAGTAGATGATGCTCACAGCTGACACAGTTGACAGCTCCAATCCCAATGGCTGACTACATGAGGTCACAATGGGGCAACTGGATGGCCACCCAAACTGGAAAAGGATGAGAGAAGGATGAATAACTGGTTTCAAGTTCATCAGAAGGGATTCAAAAAGAGGCTGATACCAAATGATAGCAAGCCAAATCAGTCCACAACTCCAAGAAGATACGACATCTGTCTTATGGTGCTGGCATTTGATTCAGTCTTTAAAATTATTAGAGTCTGAATCTTCTAAGCTGTGGGAAAATGTGGCAGGAAAGACCCAAAAGGGGCTATGATCTGAAGCTGAACAGACGATGCCCCCCACTTACTGCCAAAGGGCAACGGCTTCTGCTGTGTAAGAGTTTGGTGGAAAACCTTCGAACTTTAAAAGGGCAATTATTAGTTGACAGGAAGGAGGGAAGAACGGAAAAGCAGCACTGACTGAATCTTTCCAAAGTCAACAACTCCTCCTGCCAGAAGCCATTTAGCAATAAAAATCACCCAAGTTGTATGCAAAGGCCAAATCTAACCACAGTCTATTCTACTCAGCTCCTCCTCCAAGCATTTGAAAATACCTTACAGCCAGCAATTTAATCACAAAGACATTTCCCCAAAAGTTACAAATTCCTGCAGTAGATGGAGTTATGGAAAATAGGGACTTGCAGGGTAATGCCAAGGATGTGTCACCTTCCCTCAGTGTCTTGAACCAAGATAAGTTCTATTTAACACTCAGCTTGTACGAATCCCTGTCCCTAAAAGATTTATCTGATTAAAGGCATGGATAAATATTTAATGTATTTTGTAGGTTTTATTGTTATGCGAATGGGCAAATCTTGCCTTAAAGTGAAGAGCTTTTTGGTTTTTTTTTTTAACCACTTATTCTAAAGTGGCATGGTTTTCACCTGACAATTCGTTTCGTGTCTTTGTCTCCAAGGGATGAGTGTGTGACATTTCATGAATCTGAATACACCGATACCTCACGAGTGTCTCTAGATTAGGCTAATCAGGTCATCTTGGGGGATTTGTTGCTCTTATGATGAGTTTATTAAGAAAGATGCTTCTGTTGTGTTTCCAGGCAGCTGCTGCCCAGGATCAGTGACTATACCTCCCCAGGGAATGTAGGCACAGAACCGCACAGGCACATGCCCACACACCGACACTCACATGTCTCCGGAAGCTTGAAATCCTACCACCAGCAAATTACATACCCTTTGTATAAGATTAGCTCTTTCCACAGTTCCCTGTGTCATTAAGATGTGATGGGGGGACAGGGGTTCAACAGATGCTTACTTCCCACTTCTTAAAGTAGAGAGAAAGAGTACTAAATTTTGCCCAGAGAACCGCCTCATGCATGACTCAACATCCAGAGACACATTACAGAATACCTACGTAACTGAAATGATAATGAAGAATTTAATAATACACAATCATGTTTACCAATTGCCAGCATAAAAGAAGAATGAACTTCTTCAGTCCAGGAGCGAAGATGAACGCTATCCTTGGCACTGTTGACCCCCCAAAAGTTAATTGTCACCCCCAGATACTGTTAGTAACCTGGACTCTGCTTTCCATGAAGGCATCATCAGATTTCATAATGAAAAACATTCTTTTCATGCAATCATAAGCGAAGTAAGTGCCTGGCTAAGTCTTGCTCTTATTCCATATTCATTTAAAAAGGGATTTCATTTTCTAGAAGATCTAGTGCCCATAAGTCAAGGCAAAAACTACCCTTGTCTCCAGTGGCAAAGGGACCAGCTTGCTAGGCTGAAGTCCACCTTCTAGATCAGTTACTTTCTGCCTAGTAGAAACAGCATCACCATGTTTTTATGGCTTAGGTTGTACTTCCCTGAGCAAGAGTACTGTTCCTAAGCATTACATTTCTACAGATTTTATTGAATGCTAATTAGATGCCAGGGACTAGGAGGCCCTGAAATGAACTTTATGTCATTCTGCCCTTCAATGGCTGTTGGCCACAACATGCTTTTTAAAGCTTTATTTTCTCAGCTCAGTTTCCAAGAAAAGTTTCAAATAGAATTGATATTTTTACTGTGTTATCCATACATGTTCTTAACCTGATTTTTTCCCTCAACTGTTAAATACTTAGAAAAAAAATTTTTGAAATGTGTACCTCCTATAAGGAAATTTGAACTGATCAAAGATTTGAGTTTATAGCATTCTGTCCCTGTCAATGCGTGGAATGCTACTGTTTAGCTTACGTTACTTGGATTTTTTTGTTTGTTTTTTATGAGACAGGGTTTCTCTGTATTGTTTTGGAGGCCATCGGTCCAGCCCGGCCTCGAACTCACAGAGATCGGCCTGCCTCTGCCTCCCGAGTGCTGGGATTAAAGGCGTGCACAACCACTGCCCGGCATTACGTTATTTGGATTTTATTGTTTCCACTTTTTCTTTTACTATTCTGTACTGAATCCTGAATTACATTACATCCCATTACATTTGCTTTTACACAGTATCTACAATACGTTTTGATGTCTACCTTCTACACACAAACACACATAGCTTTGAGACTTTGTCACTGAGTGTATTTAATGTACATCCACACGGCATACATTTCTGCTTATAACACACATTCTTTCCGTTCAGTGCTCCTTTTTGAAGTTCTGCATGTATTTAACATACCCCTAACCTGTGCTTCATGCGCGTCATGCTCCATCATGTGCTGTCCTAGTCACTGTACTGGCAAATCTTCCACAGCAGCAGCTTTGCTATACGCAACAGCACACACATTTCCTTGAGCCCCGAGTGTTTAAAGTAGAAGAGCAACGATAGCAGAATGGCTAGACGATTGCATCCACGTATTTAATGCCACAGATCTGGGGAGAATATTTTCCAACTGTGTGAAAGCATACTTCAGGGTCTCATGTCTTGATATCTCCACCAGCATTTGCTATCTTGCAATGCTTTGGTTTTTGCCAGCCTGGAAAATATATATATATATATGACATGTCGTTGATGCTTTGATGAACTTGATGATACGTTCCCCGTTTTTAGAAGGTTGTGTATATTTTCACATTTGCTATTCTGTTACCTCGGCTTTTCTGTCTGCGAATGGCCTAGTCACAGAGGCGGAGGCATTTCCTAAGCTCTTTATCCTTTCTTCTCCGTTGCCTTCCAGAAAACAAGGCACATGGAACACCTTCTCATTGTCAAAAGCCTTTAATACTTATCAACCTTAGGTTTTCCTGAAGCCTGTACACCTTTCTTTCCTGCCGTGGTGTTAGGAAATACATGGCCCTATTCAACATGGGATCAGATGTTCAGGGAGACTACTGTATTCTGTTCGTTGGAGATAATTTTTAATTTCAAGGATGTCACCAACTTTATTTTTAATATCCCACTTGTCAGAACCTCACTCAAAAGATGTTTTGAAGGAGTCATGCACAAACGAATCAATAAGAGCATTTTCTCCCAGAACGTACCCTATCATTTTAAATTGGTCTTTCTAGAACCAAACACGTTCCTACACACCTGAGAATTGCAAAGGGGTTTTAGAACTACAAGGCTATAGGCGTCATACCTTCCTAGTGGGAGTTAGAAGACACCCCACAACTCTCTAGGGGACACAGGACCATCCAGACTGGAATTTACTTGCGTCAAACCTAAGACTTGCTTTTTCTTATTTTCAACTTTTTTTTCATAGAAATAATGTACAGATATGGGTGGTGCACAGGTAAAAACACATTGATGTTGGCTGAGACAAATGCTTGGTGTCTGCCTGCTTCCTGTAAGAATTTCTTGTGCACTAAGTGATGAGCTCGTCTACATTCAAGGGCTTCAGCCAGAAAAAAAAAGGACAATGGCAGGGGAGTGACAACCACAACGCATCCCTGAAGGAACCAGGAGAGAGACCCCATCCGAGGTTACCCTGGGGATCCCCGCTTTACAGACCTCACATGCGTGTGTCACGTGATACACATACTCAGTCGGTACAACCATTTCACCAACAGGCAACGGTAGTTTAGTGTGGAAAAGCTACCGGTTGTGGTAATAAAATGAAGTGACGTACTTCCGTGTTCTGAAGACAAAGGCTATTTTCACTCTATTTTTAGTTCACAACGTTGTCATTTTGAGCAGAAAAAAAAATCCAGGTTGAAGTTTCCCGTGACCCTACCCCACCCCCTGTTGGCGCACATAAAGATAGGTCTAAGGCTTAGCTACTGCAGGATGTTATGGTCTTGGTAGTGGATGTCTTATCTAAATAACAACAGACTTGGGCTAAGGTGTGTCTACTCTTGACCCTCAAGGCCGAATAACAGGTGTAGTTAACCAAATGCTTGGAGGATTAAGGGAAGAAAGTTTGTTTGCCCCTTAGACATGATCAAGAAGTCTTCTGACATGTCCCCCTTTTGGTTGGGGTACTTAAGGATGTTGAGGAATAAACTTGGGGCTTCCAGTGTCTATCCTGTGTCTCTCCTTTTCCTAGCATCTTTACCTGTCCTCAATCCACACTCCCCTCTCAGGTATAAACCGGGCAAGTTGGCTGGATCCAAACTGAAGCCCCACAAAGCCAGGTTCCCACAAGCCCCAAAGTTTCCTCTCTCTAAGTCAGTCTGTAGCTGAAACTGACCTTGAAGTCCTGGTTTCCCACCTCTATCTCCTAAGTGCTGGGATGACAGGTGTGTGTCACAAGTCGGGCTGAATCTCTACTTTGTAAGGGCTGATGTCTTTCTATCTGAGTTCTGTTTTCTGCTGATAATGACAACACTTTGAAAATAATTCAAGCCATATATGTATGTGACATTTCCTGAATATTTTACATGACTACCAAGGGATACTTCAAATTGACATTTAAAAATGCCAAGTAAATCATTGGAAGTATTTTTAGAAAATGGTTATTTTGATTTGAAACAATCTCTTGCTACACCAAGAGCTGTCTCATCTCTAAAACTGCCAAACTCAGGTAGTCATAGGATAATTAGATCATAATCTAGCTTTACTTAAAGGGATTGAATCCAAATGTCAAAATATTTCTTGCTCTTGACAGGCATATGGTAGCTGACAGCTCAATGTCAAAGCATGCTGGATCCTCGAGGCCGTGACAGTGCCTCCATCCGTACACAGTGAAGAGGGATGGCAGCATGGCTGCGCTTGACCTCTGCCATTCACACATGTAGACGTGGTTACACTCTTGTCAGAGTAAGTTGAACGGCCTTCAAGATGTTATCGGGAAAAGAAAAACATCTCTAAATTGTTGAAAATCATGTTATGGGTCAATTAAAGGGCTAAGATGGTCAATAAATGTCCCATCTTTGAACTATACATTCATTCTGGAGGGAGAGAGAGAGACAGAGAGAGGGAGGGAGAGGGAGAGAGAGAAAGAGAGACAGAGACAGAGAGAGATCAGGGCTCTTTCTCACAGGTGAGGCATGTACCAGCGATGTCCATTTCTTGGAACTTGTCATTGATCCCACCCTTGATCTAAGTAAACATCGCTTTACCTTGTGGAAGCTCTTCTCTCATTTGCTGTCTTCTTGGCAAGGAGCTCCCAGGAGGTCCTGTTTAAATTTGCTGCCCCTTCCCAACTGCCCACTCAGTCTTTTCTTTGTAGCAAACACCACTCCAACATTCTCCACTTAAAACCAATTTTACATGATTCCTTCTTTTTGCCCCTCATACTGGAAATGTAAACTCCATGCAAAAGGACTTTTAGTTTTTGTTTTGTTTTAAACTGAAGCTTAAAAAAATCTGCATCCCTAGCGGCAGAATCAGGGCAAATTATAGGCTTTCGTAGAGTATTTGTGCAATGCATCACTCTGTGACTAAAACTGGACATGT